GGAAACGGCTCCGCGGCACCAAGGTTCCTGCCGCCGCCGCCCGCCCCAGCCGGGAGCCCCGGGAGGCGCCGGCAGCTGCGCCCCGCCGGCCCCGCGGGTGTCCCGGTGCGAGAGTAACGGCAGGGGAGCGGCTCGGCGGCCACCGCGTGTCTCAGGAACCCGACAGCGGCTCATTTCCCCCTTAAAAAAATAAAAAACGACAAAAAAACCCTAAAAAAACCTTCAGGATTTGCTGTATAAAGGGCAAAGTCGCACCTTGCTATGCATAAAGCTGCTGAGCTGCTCGCTGAGCTGCTACTTGACTTCAGGACAGAGGGAAAACACAAAATACTACACGGGTTTTTAAAAATCCCAAGTGCGAAGCACAGCACACACTTACCCAGGCGCAAAGGCTGCAGGGAGCAGCACCGTGTGTGAACTCACATCGCCACAGGGCAGCACAAAGCCCTCCGGCACAACCTGTTACCCAAAGAAAACAAAAAGTTACCAGACAATTACAAATGGCTTATTTCATTGGCACGTAGCGTGGCACCCCACCCAACCAACGATACATGTCCTGTAAAAATAACCTCATGGCGAGAAATACCTGTGGGCAGATTTGTAGTGTGTACCTCAGCTTTGATGTCCAGCGTATGCAGACCAATTCTGAGCAGCATCGCGTACACACTTAAAATCCGGGGTGCCGTGCTGCTCCTCCATCCAGGCCCCAGGGGAGGCCGCGGTGCTGCGCCGAGCAGCAGGGACCAGGTCGGTGCTGAGACACAACTGCATGAAAATGCAGTGCTGAACTGAGTCCATAAAGAGGATTCACGATCCACAACAAAAGGCAGGTGTTAGGTTAGCTCCCATCAGCAGTTCTTCTTCTCATTCAGTATTTAGTCTTCTCGTTTAGTATTTTCTTCTCGTACCATTTAGTATATACTGCAAAACGTGACTGGCACAATTAACAAAGTTGCGTTCGTATGGGTAATCTCATTTCAGTGACAGCAAGGATGAATGAGTACCTTTGGCACAACAAAATACCAGTTTATCTGACTGAAAATTAATTAATCTTGGCCTTTACAAATAATGTATTACGAGAGCATTATACATTTCAAGTCCAGCTCCTGGAGATGGATGGCTTTTTCACTGGGTTACAAAGATTGATCTTTTTATTCTAATTCTGCTGTACGCACCGTGATCCCTCAAAGGACGAGGCAGTATCCTCACTTGCCATGTGCTTTAACGCCATCCAGCCTTTTCTCAGATGGTGCTGAGACATTTATGTCTTGGGCTCCTCAGAAGGAAAGAGGCTTTCTAGGACTCCTGGGTCTGACGATGCTTCAGGACTTCACCTCTCTGCTGACTATGAACTATGAGCTCCCCTTCGAGACCCAGCATACTTGCACAGGAAGCACAGGGCACACTGGTCCATCACCTGTGGGGACACGAATGTCAGGGGAGGAGAGCAGGTGGGCATTTCAAAAAGAAGTGCAAAACCCCATCCCTTCCTTGGTTCTGATTTCACTGCTGTGTTGAAAATAAATTGCCTGTGTTCAACATTACACTCCTGCTTAGATAGTTAGATAGTGCTGGGAAGTGGCCCACGTATCATTTTCCACCTGTAGTGGAAAAGTGATTTCAGGTTGCAGAAGGGCATAGATGTCATTTCTTTTTATGGCAGGACAGCAAAGAGGCCTTGTTCAAGAAGAATCACCCTTCTACTCAAAAACAGACTCCCAGAGACATTTGGAGGACACAAATGTGGAAGGACAGTAACCACACGCCACGAACACAAAACAATCCCAGTTGTCTCAGCAGCCAAGTCCCAGGCATTCAGTGCAGTCAGGCACTATTCCTGCCCCCCTCTCTTTCCTACAGCCCAAGCGTGTCCCATGGGGCTCTTTGGGACCCCATTTGCCAAATACATCCAGGCATTGCATTGATTTGCATTGGGCAATCCCCAGACGGGCAGGAGATAGGAAGGACACCTCCTGCCAGGGTTCCATGCCCTGCCAGACGGTTCCCAGCACCCCCCCAATTCTTGCAGCATTGCCTTCTGCACAGTGCGGGGCTGCAGGAAACACCGGGTTCCCGCAAGGAGGAGGGGAGACGCAGAGTAAAAAAGGCTGATATTGCTGTCTTAATTTCATTCTTCTCAGCTCTCTAAAGAGCACTTTTCCCAGCTCTAGATATTTCTATCTCTGTTCTTATCTGCTGGAAACCCTTTGCAAGGACTGGGAAGGGTAACACTTTCCATTTCCTAGGCAAAATGCAATTAACACGCACCTGTCTTACACTGACTGTTAAGGAACGGCTTGGGTTCAAGTTTTTAATTTTCCATTCTGTCTAAGAAGCACTTTATAAGCAATTGTCACCAAGGAGGAGGAGATTCCATCCCCTTTCTAAATGACATTTTTGTATCTATGATCTATCACATGTCCCTCTACCACAGCTTGAAACAACTGAACCTTTCTGAGATCAGATGACTCTTTTCTTCCTTTAGTCTGATAGAGATTTCTCTTCCTGCAGTCTGTGTGCCAATGGAAAAGAATAAATCACCAACCTTACCCTTCAAAGCTGCAGGAAAACACACTCTAATTCTGAAGAAGTATGAACCTTGGATTTTTTTGTTGTTGCTTTATATCTATTTAAGAATATAAGTTCCAGAGTTTGCAACTTATTGTTTAAGCATATCACCATCTTCCAACACAAAATCACAAGTGGTTTTAAGCAGAATATCCTGGTTAAAGAGATGGTGGTGGCTGCCCAACAGAACCTTACACACAGCTTGATTTCCAGCCTTGTCCCCCTTGCTCGTCAACCACCAACACACAGCCCAAACCGGCAGAGTGGACAGAGCCACCTGGTGGTTAACTGTACGCGCAAACAGATGGTGTCCTGTATGTCCACACGATGAGGACATAAACTCATCTCCCTTCTGCTTGGGCTGTACCAAATGTCAGCTTTTTCTTAGGTTTTTGATTGAGGTTCTGGAGTCTTGAGAGTTAACATCGAAAGCAGGAGAAAATAGTTCTATCTGTTAACACCAGAAACTTAGCTACTTTCCTTGGGGGAGAGTTCACAGGACCGAGCGCTCTTCTTTAGATCTGAACATCTCCCATAAGCATTTCAGACTCATCTTCCAAAGACCAGATCATTGCACCATGTATTACCGAGCCTGGCTCCTGTTGATAGGAATCCAAACATCTTTCTCAAACTGGGAAACTCTCAAGAACCCTTTGGCCATGTCCTTCACTGGCATAATGTGGAAGGAACAGTGCTCATTTACTGTGGCCACTGACAGACTTGCCAGTTCACACTGGCTGAGCATTAGGCCCACTGTCTTTCCCCGCTGCCTCTGAAGAAGGGGCCTTTTTTCACACATTTTAATTACTGACTCCCTACATAGAAGCTATTACCTCACAGAAAGGCCGTTAACTGGCACGTTCAGCACAAGATGAAACCTTTCTGATAATTGTTCCCTGAGTTCATGTTTGTGAAAATAAATATCATCAGATGATTAAATTAAACACCGCAGCCAGCCCAGCTATACACTATTTTCACTTATCACGCAGAAGGGGAGATCAAAGAGAAAGGCTCAGGTAGAGTTGTTCCAACTCCTCCAAGTTTGGTTGATAGCTACCTATTGAACACACTAATTAGCTCCCTGCTTGGGGTGTGCAGCACAAAATTAACCCTCCCGAAATTGGGTGGTGTAGCCATTTCCAAGCTCTGCAATCGACTGGATGCAGAGGGATGACTACCCCCTCGTTTTTCTCTGTAGGGTAGAGCAGCAGTAATGTACTCTAAGTGCCAGCAGCACAGCCTGACTCTGATTTCAGAGACTCTTTGGCCCTCTGTTCCCTTTGGTGTCTTGTGTGCGTGAGAGGACAGCTGTGCCAGGGGAACACGAGGGAAGGCTGGAGGCACCCCTCTTCTGAGGTCCTACAGGGCTTCTGCCTCCCAGCTCTTCCCTTGTGGTGGGCAGAGGTGCCCGTCCCTGCGCTCCTGCAGCGAGGGAGCCCCCCGGTTCGACCAGGGAGATTGTTTCGGAGCTGGAGTTTCTCCCGGCGCTTCCCTGCTTTGCTTTCCTGGGCCGCGGAGGGCGAGGGGCGAGCGGGCAGCCCGGCCCGGTTCCCGCTGCGAGCCCGCCGCCCTCCCCGGGAGCACACACCCCCACGCAACCAGAAAGCCCTGCTATTCTTCTGCTAATGGGATTGGCACCGCTTAAAGCAGTCTGCGAGGGTATTGTCTGCAACCACAGCAAGAGAAACATTATTCAAAGGCCATTCAGGCCCCAAAAGAAGCGGCAGAGCAGAGTAATTATCGGAGACTCTCCATTAACGAGGGCATCTTTGCTCTTTGTCTGTGTTGGTTTAATAAGGGCCACTAATGGGGCCGGGGGAGGGGCACGCTAATGCTTCTAAACAAACCTCCTTCCCTTCCCCACCCCCGCGCCGTGAGGAGAGCTGCCTTTATGGGCACTGACAGCCGAGCTGGGAGTTACCATATTGCAGGGTGACCTTCGGGAAAACTTAGTGTGAACCCAGCCGCTTTCAGCCCCATCCCCACCGAGCCGCTGGGAGCATCGTTTGGGTAGCTGTTCTCTTTTTAGCCTTTCCATATTTCCCGGCGCTTGCCGGGCCCTTTTATACGCCCCCCGCCCGACCTCTCTCATGTCATCTCGTGACCCTTCGTGGCCGGACACGACGGCACTGAGTGGCAGTAATGAGGGACGACAGTGCAGATTAAGTTCTCGCAGCAAAACCTGGGGCTGCTGTCCGTTACCCAGCAGCTGGGACCAGGAGATGCTGCTGGGAAGGCAGGACCGGAGCGGCCTCCCCTCCCCGCACCGCTGGAGAAGGCAGGCTGGGATTTAGCACAGCCCAATGGCTCCTACCTTCTGTCTGTGGGTGCTTTTCTGGTGACGGAGAGATGAACTGAGGCAAAAGCTGGCATGAACCTCCATCCCGAGATCCTTCAGAGCCACTCTCAGGAGCACGCAGCAAAAATTCCACTGAGGGCTCCCAGACTGTCCCCATCTTCAAACACCAGTTGTAAGGGGCCGACTTCTGAAGCAGTTTGCAATATTACAGGGTCAGATGCACACTGGTTACTTAAACAGCGAAACGTGGGTGAGAGGTGTCAGGAGGTATCTGCAAAAGACAGCATTCAAACAGTGAACTGTAATGATGCACGTATAGATGAATAACGAACCATACAGCCTTTTTCAACTAGATGTTGTTCATACAGGTTTGAGAACTGCTAGATCTATTTTTAGCCAATGAGGAAACTAAAGAACAATAAAAGGAAATGATTCCCCCAGTTTGTGCAGGTCTTTTACTGAAGCCAGGCCCTGGACATCATGCCATTCTATCTCACCTTCCAGTGATGCACCCCTAATGCGTGGTCACACTGTACAACCGGCCCATGGACTGCAAAGACAAAGCAGAGCCTTCTTGGTACCTGTATGTGTGCATGTCAACGTTCTCAGGAACTGCACTTGAGGGCCCAATGACCCAATGTCAGTGCTGCCTCTTTTGTTACCAGAAATGGTTTTATTCAGCTGAGGTATGGAACGACAAACTTATCTGTACAGACACCCACCCAGCCCTCTCCACTTGGGCAAATGTTCTGGTGCTAAAGGTTTATCACAAGCAGAAGAAAGA